TCGGCGGCCGGCGGAGGCGGCGGCGGAGGCGGAGGCGGAGGCGGAGGAGGAGGCGGCGGGGGAGGAGGCGCAGGCGGCGGAGGCGGGGGCGGAGGCGGGGGCGGAGGCGGGGGCGGAGGCGGAGGGCCGACGCTCTCTGCGGAGCAGGAGGAGCGCTTGCGCTCTCTTTGGGCCTTCATCGCGAGCGGCAACGCTGGGCAGGCAAAGGTCGAGGGCACGATCTCGCGGGACGAGTTTGAGGGCCTGCTGGAGACGGAGGGGCTCGAGCCTGACCGCGCCGCCCTCGTCGCCTCCGAGCTGGGGGAGCAGGTCGGCCTCGACGAGGCGAGGCGCGCGCTGGCGGAGCAGGTCCCCGCCGAGCGGCACGAGGGGCGGTACCAGATTGCAATCTCGCTCGAGGAGGCGGAGGCGGTGCGGGCGCTGCTGCATGGGCTGCGGAGCCGCGGCGCCCCGCTGCTCGGCGGCGGCACCGCCCTCGCCCTCCGCCACGGCGACCAGCTCTTCGATGCGAGCGCCAACTTTGCCGCCGGGGAGGGGGGCCGGCTGGCCACGACGGCGCGGCAGTGCTTCCGCCTCTTCGACTCGGAGGTCAACTTCACGCCGGCGGAGGTGACGGCGATCCTGCGCGCGCTGCAGACCAACCCGCCCGAGAAGCGGTCGAGCTGGTTCGAGTCGGTTCGCATGTGCCGCCGGCGAGACACGCGCCACTGGAGCAACGCGCCCATCTCGCGCGTGTTTTGCACCAAGAACCAGGAGCAGGTGGCGCGCGAGGAGATGGTGCGCCACAAGATTGTCTCCCACCTGAGGCAGCACCGCATCCACGCCGCAACCTTCTTCGCCGAGTGGGGCGGCAACCATGACGGCTTCCTCCTCGTCTCGGAGCTCAAGAGCGGGCTGCACGCGCTCGAGGGGCTGCGCATGGAGCTCGACCGGTTCGACGGTGCTCGTGAACCGGTGAACAGCGTCTCTTCACAGGCGCATCTGTGAACAGGAGCTCGACCAGTTCGACGTGCTCGTGGGCCGCCTCCGGCCGGACGAGAAGGAGCGGGTCGCGTACGCCGAGTGGTGCTCGATGTTTGCCGAGGTCACCGACGGCCTCATTCTCATCATTCTCCTCCTCCCCCTACCTCATATTGCCGTTGTTCTTGTCAGGCCACCGACGAGCAGCGCGGCCTCGTGCGGCAGGACCACCTCGAGCCCCTCTCGGAAGAGGCGCCCGCCGACGGGCTGCCTCCGAGCGGCTACTTCAAGGGCGCCGCCGCCATCCAGCGCAAGGACACGCCGCGCCGCTCCGTCGAGGCGGTGGCTGGGCGGCGGTACACCGAGCTCCCGCTCACGCGGCTGATGAAGCTCACCGTGCGCAAGCTGCCGCTCTCGCTCGCCGGCCGCGCGCACTGCGTGTGGAGCACCAAGGGGCTCCCGTGCAAGGAGTCGCTCTCGCTGTGGTCGCCCGAGGCCAAGCGCGACTTTTGGGCGCCAAACAAGCAGCGCTTCTGCGTCGGCCACTACGGCAGCCCGTCGCTCGAGCACAAGCCGGGCGGTCTCTGCCTTCTCGAGCTCGAGGACGTGGTGCCGTGGCAGCTGATGCGCATGTGGCAGATCGACGCCGCGCTGGCGTCCAACGCGCCGCACCCCGAGTGGTACCACCTCGAGTGGCACAAGGACTCGGCGGAGCGGCCCATCTACGCGTGGAAGCCGATGCCGCCGTCGGAGGACTTTGTCGCCCTCGGGATGCTCTTCACGACCACCCCCGAGCAGCCGCCGCTCGTCGCGATGCGCTGCGTGCACAAGAGCTGGGTGGTGGAGGCGACGGCGGAGCCGCAGTGCATCTGGAAGGACCTCGGCATGGGCGGCAAGGCGGGCTCGGTCTGGTGCGTCAGCGATACCCTCGCATCCCTCGGCGAGGCGGACGAGGCGGGCAGGCAGCGAGGGCTCGCGTGGGCGACCAAGGGGTACGAGCGGCCGCGCGGGCCCTTTTACCGGCTGCGCGACACCGCCTTCTCCCTCGCGGAGGTGAAGCAGGGGAGCGCGGGCGGCGCCGCCTCCTCGAGCCCGCCGCCGCCCGGGGAGGCGGCCGCAGAGGCGGCCGGGGAGGCGGCCGGGGAGGCGGCCGGGGAGGCGGCCGGGGAGGCGGCCGGGGAGGCGGCCGGGGAGGCGCCCGGGAAGCGGCCGGGGAGGCGGGG